GTGCAGTGGAGGCCTTGTGTTGTCACTTAGAGAGTGGAGAAAAAGTGAGAGGGGAGTAGGTTTTGGTCACACTTCCACAGAACTTTCTAGAAATTAGACAGGTGCTATGGTCACACAGAAATGGGGGCTGGGTACCGCCCCGATCATGTGGGTGTGTGAGAAAGGAGAAACTTTGTTTCTATTTTTCTTGTGTTTGAAAAGTTTCAAAATACAAATTTTAAAGGAATTAAAATACAATAAAATATAAATTTAAAATAAAGTAGAAATTTTATAAATGTCAATCTAAAAAAACTATGCTTCTAATTTTCTGTATGTTTGAAATTTACCAAAATATAAAATTTTCAAAAATTGCTCTCTAGTATTTCATCATATAGTTAGTTTTGAAAAGTAAAGTGAAATTGCAGACTACTACCTGGTGATTTCCTTTTGAACATTCATTTTTAAAAATCTTCTAGGAACATTATAGTCAGTGTATCAGAGGTAGTTTGAAATGTTTTGGTGGGAAGTAACAAAAAACTCAACTATAAAAGTCTTCAGTAAACGTCTCCAGGGAGGTCACCTAGAGCTGGGATAGCAACTCAGCAATGTCATCAAAGACCCAGCATCTGATACTCATTCTTAGGGCTTAATGCTCCCTTAGAGGCAGTTATAAATTATTCGAATTTTTCCCATATTTCATTTATTTCCTTCCAAGGCAAACACGGTGACACGGAGAGGACAGGGATGATTTCTGACCGGCTCCCAGCACCACCGAAGCCCGGCAGGCCCTGCTGTGGGACCCCAGGCCTCCGCACTTCCCAGCCGGCGTTCTTTTCTGTTGGCTACGCTGCCTCTCTGATTCCGTGTTTTATCTGTTTGAGAGAAAGTGGTTTTCCCTGTGTCCCCGACAAACCCAGTCAGCAAGCGCGGTTCTCCTCGTGTGCTGACCCAAGCACAGATTACGGGTATCTTGAGCCCGGCTCAGAAACCGGGGACCCGCCCCTCTCTGCAGCCACGGACATGTTTCCACAGGGACCATGGAAGAGGGAGGTGCAGCGAGGGAGACACTGGCAGCAGCTGAAGACACAGGACAGCCTGCTTGCAGGTCTCGAGCTGAGTAACTGTGTCAGTCTCAACACCGAACAGGAGCCCATGTAAGAAGTAATGAAAATGACTACAGAGGGATCTGCCAGCGTTCGGGGAGCAAATAATAAGCAGAAGGGAACCGTTACCCAGGTCACCTGGCTCCTATTGTGCGTCGTAGCAGCGCTCACTTTCACAGCTTCCTGCAGAACCCGTGAAAAGAGGTACCCTCTTTGTTCCTCAGTGAAGACATGGCTTTTGTGTTGTCAAATATTCCATAGTTTGTGACTTCAGGCTGTTGTGACTTAAAGGGTTTCACACATGGAGGACCCGTGAGGGCTCCGCGCGGCGCTCCAGGCTGGCCTCCACGGGCGGGCGCGCGGTGTCCCCGACCCAGAGCTGCCCTCCGGCTCGCGCTCCCTCCCGCCTTCAGGGTCCCGCCGGTGTCCCTTACACAATGAGATTGACTAGGCAGCCAGACGTTTTTTCCCTCTCTGCATCCGGAGGGCTTGCTTGTAATCAGTTAAATAGGTTTCCCTGCCTCCCAGTGCCCAGACAGTTCAGGAAGGAGTGAGGAGATACATTAGACACGACTTTCTCCACCCTCTCTCCATTCTGCTGCACCTTTCCCGATTCTTTCCAAAGCCCTTCCTGCAAAAACGTAAAGCTCCACACCAGTGTCACGGGGTGGTCGGCTCTGAAAGCAAATGCATTTTTTTAGAAGAAGGACTTTCTCCTCCCATTTCTCCCTCCTTTGGCCCAAGGCCAAGAGGGGGGCTTTGGTCTGTACCGCTTCCCAGAGCTGTTATGAGCACCACATGCCCATGGCTTCGCAACGGTGCCAGCGGAAGCGCTGGGTCTTGTTCAGACAGTGCCCGCCCGGGTCACCAGCTGGAACCTCTGAGGACTAACCGGAAGCTGACTTCCCGTCCACTTGCGAGATTACTCATCCCTCCCTTTTCAGGACATCCTTTCAGTTCAGGTGCCAGAGGAAGAAAGAAGAAAGCAATTACAAGAAAAAGAACAGGATGCGGTTGACAGCATGTGAGATGGAAATCTGGTCCGGTAAGGAAAATGACCTCTGCGAGTGACCCCCTGCTGAGTCACCCACACCTGTAAGAGGCTGATAAAAGATACCCTTTCTGCAGAAAAGTGGAAAACAGGCGCGTGGATAATTCGCCTACAATCGCATGTGATTCATTGATATATACGCCCCAGTACTGCTGGGGCCACAGGCCAAGAATTCCTACTTAGAAGCATGTGAGAAGCAGCTGATGGCAAAAGTATCACTAAGGGTGGGGTTGGGAAACTCATCAACTGCAAGCCCATTTCCAAGGGCACAAAGACACGCAGAGCCAGCACCACGCAAAAGAAGGGGGTGAAGAACCGCAGCTCCTCAAAGAAAATGTGTAACTCACCAGGGCGAATTCTCCCGTTAGAGACACACTGTCCTTTCTTGCGAGGGGTTTTCCATGTTTAGATGTGTGGCAAGGGAAGAATAAACCCTCCTGAACTGCAATGGACTGGTCCGTCTGGAAAGGATTTAAACACATCAGCGAAAGAATTTGAGCGCATGAAAATGGTTTGCTTTTGCAAATTTTTCGTTTTGTTTTGCTTCCTGCTGTGGGTTGATAGTTTTCCAAATGGCACATTTTCAAACCCTCCTGCTTCATGAAAGCGACGTATTTTTAGACATCTGTCTGGGGTCCGCATGAATGCCCTCGCCGGCTCAGCAGCGGGAGAGGGGCCACGGCAGTCCGGACAGGCCGCTGGGCTCCAGCTGCATAATGAACAGCCCAGCCCTGGGTGGCTCGAATGGCAGGAGTTTCTCTCTCGCGCCTGCTGCGCCGGCTGTGGCTCCGGCAGCTCTCCGGCCCTGTCTCTCCTTGCTGCTGGCTCAGTGTTCTGGGCTGAGCCTCCAGTGTTACCACTTACTCCACTGTCTCCGTGGAAGTGCGCACATTGCTCCCCACTCCCTCTCTTTGGCCACAGCAGGTCACATAGTGATGCCCGACTTTAGGGAAACGGGGAAGTAAGGTCCACCGGTGGACACCGCGGCAATGAGGAACAGGTGGTTATAACGGTTGTAATGTCTGCTCAGTGACGACTGGAATGTGCTTGAAAATTAAAATGAACTTTTAGGCACATGTGCTATGATGTTGCCTGTGAACTGCCCCCACCTTAGATTAAAAAAATAAACCATAGGCTTCCTACTTCCTGCCATGACAGGAATAGGGGCTGGCTAACCCTCCCTATTAACTATGAAGACTGAATCCATGAACAAGGTTTCAAACATCAGACGCAGGCAGGCAAGGCTTTGATCGCTGAGAGGGGAGAAGCAAGGGGAGCCCCATGGGGGCCCCAAAATGCATGGATGCAGATTCCAGGCTGAGGACAGGTAGGGAAGCCAAACAGAGGTTCACCGTCTCTGAGTCCAGGAGACAGAAATCAGCCTTCAGGGAAACCAAGGTGGGCGGGATTTGAAGGGCAAAGTACAGGAAAGGAGAGATAGACAATCAGTTGGAGACCTGCAGGTGTCCCCTAGGAAGAACGGCTGAACACTGCTCCATGCATTCGTGTGAAGAAGCCACATGACTCCCAGAGGTCAACGCCTTACGTGACTTGTTCATGGTGACAGACATTGGCACCAGCCTGGCAGCTGGAGCCCAGGGCTCTCCCACAGAATTCAGACCTCTTTACGCGGCCACAGGTTTCTCTCCCAAAAGGGCGTCTTCAAGCTTCGATGACGCCTGTGACATGGGACAAACTGAATAGCAGGAACCACGACCTGTGCGTGTAGAGCCAGCGCCCAGTTGTGGTCAGTGCTGATGGATGTCCACTGAGCGGACGATGTGGGAAATGTAATCGTTCTAATAGTGAAAAAGTTTTTGAAATTATAATACAAGCTTTGTTTAAAAAAAAAACAACTCAGAAAATACAACTTTCTAATACATGTCTCTCATAATCACATGCCCTGCAAGCAAGCAGATTAGTTTTGAACAGCCCGTGTCCTGACTTCTGGACCTCAGTGTCTCCTCTCCAAATACTTATCCACTATTTCTACCCTGTCAAGATTTGTAAAAATTATAAATTATCTCATAACCTCAGCTCTGCTGTAGTATCTGAAGGCTGACACACTTAAAAATCAGAACATCAACCTCCAAGAACCATGTGATGTGTCTGAACCTGGAGAGAATGACGCCTACGCCCGGTCATTAAAATCTTGCCAGTTGAAGGAGGGGCTCCGAAGTGTCAACACCCCCGGGTCATTTCCCACTTCACACTCCCTGCACTTTCCCGGCTCCCAGGTGGCTTTTGCTGCTCTGCGGTCCCATGGACTCTCTTCTCAGATCCCGTCGTCCCTTTCCCAGCCCCTTCCTCACTCCAATGACGGCAGCATCCCCGGGCGGTGGGCCCCGGTGTGACAGTGAATGGTCCGTGTCCAGCTTACCGGGCCGCAGGGCACACAGACACCTGGCACAGGGTCGGGAACCAGACAAGGCTCTGCCCCAGGTCCCGGCTGCCGGGCCAGCGGCTCCCCTGCGGGGCCACGCATGCGCAGATCGCAGGTGTCCGAAAGGTACCAGCAGGGAGCGGGGGAGGGAGGTGCTTTGGAGCCTCTGGCAGGCCCCATAGGCGGGTCACAGCCCAGCCTTCAGGGTTTGGGGGTGGAGCCGGGCCATCCTCTCCTTTTGAGAAACAGCTCCTGGGCTGCAGCGGAGACTGAACGGAAGTGGCTGTGGGACCGGCCTGAGCGGGCCCCGAGGCCCCATAAGGCTGCATGAAGAAGTGGCCCAGGGCCCACCGTCCCCACTCCAGCTACACTACGTCTGCCTCCCGGCCTGCACCCGTGGCTCCATGGGGGCTGTTTTCAGCAGACGGACACAAGCAGCAATGATTTTTAGAAAAATCACACAGAAACACCAAGAAATGTTTTGAAAAAGTGTTTTGAGAATTTACTGTACAGTTTTTTTAAACAATTTATTTATATGTTGGCTTCTACATGCTTTTACATTTGTGTAAAACATTTATACATATTCTTTACAATTTGTACATATATTAAATGGTATATCATAAACACTGTTCTATGAGATTTTATAAAAGAAAAATCAAGTAGGGAAAATTCCTTATAAAACATTAACAAAAACCCGTGATTCTGAAGAACAAGAAGTTCTCCTTCATGTCCGTCTGATTTCCTTTCCTACTTAGTTTTTGGTTTCACCTTATTCGTGCGGGGCCCCGACGTCCCACTTCCTGCAAGGTCGTCCCCAGGTCAGAAAAGCGGAAGTGGTGGAGCTCACGGGTACGGGTAAGGCAAGTGTGCAGGCTGGTGCGCCCGTGCGCCGAGCGCGCAGCCGGCAGGCCGACCGTCTGGGCCTGCAGATCGGCAGTGCTTCGGGCCGTTAACTGAAGCTCTAGTGACCGGAGGCATCTGTTTGAAGCCTGGGACAGCGTCAGAAGGAACGCCACTCTGTATTTGCCTGGGGGTCAGCGCGCATCATCCAGGTCGCTGCCCTTCTCGGCCCTTGAGCTTTTCCATTAGGAGGGGATGCGAGAGGCCTAGGAAGCCGCGTTTTTCTCTCTTCTGAGTACCAGCTGGCCCACTGGGCTACAACCCAAAGCAAGCGGCAAACCCTGCTCTCATTCCTCACTGCGTCTCACTGGGCACCCGAAGACTAAAAGCAGGGCAACAGGTCCGGAGGAGCCTGTCTGTCCCCCACGCCCACCCTGGGGCGCTCCTTCCTGAGCATGGGGGGAGGTGGGGACGGGTCAGCGTGGCTGCCCTGCCCCTGGGGGCAGAGTCAGGGTATTTGAAAACCACTCCGACTTCTCCCACGTCCTCTCCCCAGCACCAAGCCTGCCATGCTCAGGAAGGACGCGCCGGGAGAGCGGGCGCCCCTCCCGGATGAGAAGCGTTCCTAAGGGACGCAGCCGGCAGCTTCTGACAGGCTGCAGCCTCTGGAGGGACAAGCCCCCGGCAGGCCCCTGTTGCTTCCTCTCCTGAGAAATGTAAGCACTTGAGTCGTAGGTGTTTGTCAGTGAAAGGCATAAAAGAGACGGGGATCCCAAAGCATTGAAAAGAATTATAAAAATATATACAAACATATTTTTTTTATTCTGGCATACTTCATATTTTTAAGAAAGCAATTAATAATTATCTGACCTTGGATAAGAACTGGAAGATTGTGGGTGACTTAAAAATTACAATTTTATGTAAAATATCAGTGGGGAACCCTCTAATTTTCCATTCAAAATGTTGGTAATTTTAAGTACTTTCCAAAAATAGAGACAATTTTCACTGGTTTAAATAATGGATGTAGAAAAGAACAAAAGACGACTATATAACTGATGCATTTAGGCTGGTAATAAAGTAAGTGTAGTTTTCTTGCAGCTCTATTTCTTTTTTGGTTTTCTTTCTTTCCTTTCTTTTGGATGATGGGGGGAAAACATTAAATTGCATTGCCCTGGGCCAGAAGGAGCCACTTTGGAGGTTCCTTCACGTTCCACGATCCGTCCTACATAACCGGGAAGCGGCTGAGGGCCTGCCTCAGCTTTTCTGCAATCTGGTGGAAAAACAAAAGAATTCTGAGATTTAACCACCATTACATCTTCAGATGTTCTATAATTTCCGTCTCTTCTGAGCTAAACACTGTGACAATTTCAAACACTGGGGTCTGTGCGTCTAGGCTGTTTGGGCACCACCCCAGCTTCCACCTGGCTGCGGAGGATCCTTCCAAAACCCAGCCGGCAGGGAGGGCACAGCCCCTTCCCCGGGCATGACCACCTGTCCCAGAGAGCATTTCAAGGCTACCCAGGGAGGATCAGGCTGCCCACAACCCCTAAGACCCGGCGGAGGAGCAGGCCCCTCTGCTGCGGTGGGAGGACAGTGCCACCTTCCTCACAGGGCCGCCTGCAGGTGTGATGGTTCGCCTCGGCCTCCCCCAGGAGACTCACGCTCCATGAGGACACAGGCCTTCGTCGCCCTTGGATCCTGAGCATGAGCGGTGAGTGCTTAGTATACAATGAGCAATTAATGTTTGCTCCATGGACAATTATGCACATTTTAATGACTACGTAGCAAAGACAGGGATTACATACATAGTTTACTCTTCTGAATTACGATGACATTACTAATTAAACCCCACTTGGACTTGAGAATTTTTTAACAAATCGGCATTATCAGAATTTTAAAAGTTGCCCCTCAATTACTCTCTTGCACAGAACACATGCACCTGCACATGCAGCGGGCACTGCTCGCCCCGCAGCCACACGCTGCAGGGAGCCCGCTGCTTCTGGGAGTTCCTTCTGTACATGTGTCGTCAAAACCAACTGTTTCCAACTCCTAATTCACCATATGCATGAAGCACATTACTGCCTTTCAAGAATTTGCTGGTGGACGCCCTGGCTGGTGCGGCTCAATGGACTGCGTGCCGGCCTGTGAACCAGAGGGTCACCGGTTCAATTCCCAGTCACGGCACGCATCTGGGTTGCGGGCCAGGTCCCAGTTTGGGGGTACATGAGCGGCAACTACACATTGATGTTTTTCTCTTTCTCCCTCCCCTCCTCCTCTCTAAAAATAAATAAAATCTTAAAAAAAAAAAAAAAAGAATTTGCTGGCAGAGACAGGCATTTTCGGCAGTGTCAAGTCCAAAGACGACACATGTGTGGCATGTGTTTGGGGCTTGCCTACATTATCCCTGAACATTCATACACGAGGTGATGCCTTTAAGACAGTGGAGGACTTAGTAAGAAGCACAGCAGCCCGCACACGATCAGTTATGAAGTTACAGAGCTTGTCTGCAGAGGCTGAGCTTTAACTGAGTGCAGGAGCTTTGCTTTCTGGACTCTCCGGTAAACAATGAAACTACCACACAGAGGTACGGACGTTTACGTTTTCATCCCTTTTTCTGAATGAAGATACTGAAGGCCCTGCGCTCCCTGTCACGTTCTGACGGCGTGCCCTGTGGCACACTGTGAGGCCCCATTCACACACAAAGATGCCTGTGGCGCCCGAGGTGCCAGGCTCCCGGCAGCTGCGCCCATGGGCGCAGGGTGACCTCACCCCGTCCAGCTGTGCTCCCTGCGCACGGAGAGGCACGGGAGCACGAGGGCCATGCAACACGGTCTTCTGGGGCCTTGCCACTAGCGTCCCAGATCCCTTCTTCAAAAGAAAACCTTTTTTTTTTTTAAACCCAGTGTTATTTGAAAAGGAAAGGGAGAGGTAATTAAGAGATTAAAATAAACCCACTCACTATTTACAGCCTGTTTGGGTTTAATCTCAGGATTAAAAAATACAAACAGATTAACCTTCTGTGGTCAAAGGAAGTGGGTAGGAACTCCCCCACCACGCGCTCCTGGGCCGCGGTGCCGACTCACCGTTTCGTAGAACTGCGCCTGCTGCTCCAGGTACAGGCGGACGACGCTGTTGTAGTCATAGATCCGGTTACTATGGAAGTGGTTCATCTCAGCTGCAACCAAAGCCAACACATCAATCAGTGCCCCCAGACTTTAAAACGACACCTGGCTTCTCTGCTCGGTGACGAGCCATCACCAGCCAGGTTGGCTGCAGGGCGGGACCAGCGCCTGACTTTATAAAGAGGCTAGAAAACAATCTGAACAGTGTGGCAAACAGCACTTTCCAGGAGATGGATGACTTTTGTTGTCTTGCATAGTAAACACTATGACGTGGACTGCTGTTGTAACACAGTGATTGAGCAGGAAACTGACTTGGCTGTATTCCCTACAGGTGACTACAGTTCAGACGTTCAAGCTCGTTTACGGTGGGCCTAGCAAGGCACCTGGTGGGCTGCGCCCTACTCCTCTGCGCACGGCAGCCGTCTAGGCGGGTCTCAGGAGGCCCGAAGGCGGGCAGATGAGCAGACGCGGTCATCGGGCTTCCCTGCCCGAGCACCAGGGCTGCCAGAGACCCACCTCTCCCCGGGAGAGAGGGTCTGATGGTCACGCTTCATCTTTGCTGGACAGATCCACTCAGCAACAAATCCCCATGGAAATGTGTCTCTTGGTTTCCCCCGCGCCCCCCAGTCACAGCCTGCAGATCAGAGCTCCTTCCCGCCGCTCCACCTGCCTGGCCCTTACACTCCGGGCCCAGAGAGCCCACTGCTGGCATCCATTCCTACGAAGAGCAAACTGTGCTGAGGTTGACAGTCACCTCAAGTCGTCCAGAGCTCTTCATCTGCCTGTGTGGGTAACCTCAAACGCAAGTTCAATACCAAATCCCATTTCAAACCCTTCAAAGCCACACTGGCAGCCAGGCGCCCCGCTTCTGCTCCAGCTGCCCCAGCTCTGGGAAGGCTGCCACGCTTCCTCCTCCCACGGGCGCGTCCTCCAGCCCCGAGGGCTGCTCCCGGGAGAGGCTCGCAAACACCCCGCCCCCCGCCCCCCAGCTCATCAGGTCCTCAGAGCCTCGGGCGGCACAGGCCTGGGCTCCGGGCTGGGCTGCCTGACCAACGTCTGCCCCTCCAACGTACCCCATGCAACTGGCAAACCCATCTCCCTTGAGCACTGCTTCTGTGCCCCTCGTCGGAACCTTTCAATAACTCTTAATACCCAAGTCACGTCTAGACTCCTCTGCCTGGCTCTCAGGGTCCCCCACAATCACCAACATTCACTCCCCAGCAACCTGCAGCTGTGCTTTATTCCCACGGGCCGATGGCACAACCCTGTACCAGTATTTTCTGTGCTTCTCTTCCAACTAGAAGAGCATCCTTCCCCTTTCTCCTTCACCCGTGAATATTCTATCTGTTCACCAAGATGGGAAAAATCTACTCTGCTCCTATATGCTGGGAAACACTCCACTATGTAAGAATTAGTATCATCCTTTTTCTAACAGTCACACTGTGCCCAGCTGCTACCTCCAAACTCCCTCTGCGTGCCATGGTCCTGGGGCGTGGAGGCCACACACAGCTAGAAACTGAACTTGGCAGCCTAACAGAGCATTATGAGAGGTGCTGACATTCAGGCTGGAAAGGCATCTTTGAGATCCTTAAAAAGTCCTGTGAACAGCCCTGGCTGGTGTGGCTCAGGGGACTGAGCGCCAGCCTGCAACCAGAGGGTCGCTGGTTTGATTCCCAGTCAGGGCACATGCCTGGGTTGGAGGCCAGGTCCCCAGTAGGGGGCGCATGAGAGGCAACCACACATTGATTTTCTCCTCTCTCCCTCCCTTCCCCTCTCTAAAACAAAACAAAACAAAAAAAAACCAAAAAACAAATCCTGCGAACAACAGGTTTACGAGGACATTTAAAATCAGCTCTTAGTTAACTGCTGTCCACATTGGGTTTCTCCACAGTCAGGAAAGAGCAGCCTCACTGGGCACACTGATCTCCGCTGGCCACACACAAATTGTCTTACCTTGTAAGGCGTAAGACATCGTGCCAACACGCTTCACCATGTTCTGTTTGTCCTGTGGGGTAATCTTACTAGTTGCAACCAGTTTGTCACTTTCTTTCACTTTTTCTATTGCTCCCTGTGAAATATGGAAGTGAAATGGCATCAGCAAAACAAAGCTGAAGGGACTAGTCATCAGTTTAAACTGTAACAATGCAACATCTTTTATAATTGACTTGCTGTCGACCAGGAAAATGCCCCCCAAGTTAAAAACCTAGGCAAGCCATCTAAATAGGACTTCCTTTAAGTCTCTTGAAAAATGTAACTGAGCCAAGATTCGCAGTTCTATGTCATGACGAGGTAGGAAACCAGACGGCACTCTGGGCGGGAGCACGTAGGAGCCACGGTCCGGCTCAGGGTGGTTCGCGTGGACTGCAGGCGCTGCGCGTGCGGGTGGTGAGGGCCGGTGCCGCTCGTGCACACGGTGCAGGCGCCTCGTCCCTTCTGTGCTAACAGGGAGGGTTTTACAGGCTAGCGCGCGGGCGTGCGGCCCAGAAGGCTTGAGCTTTGCGCCGTGACTCCCGAGAGATGTGCCGGGTCAATTCTGGGTTGACACTTAGGACGGGAGGAGCCGAGAAAGCTGCCCAGGGCCTCCTGCCACAGGACCCCACCGTGCTCCTTACTTGGAGCCGCCTGGAAAGAACGCCCCCATGCTCATGCGGGAGTTGGGCTCACGCCCCTAACTCCACCTCTGCTGGCACGAATTCCCACGACAAGCTAGCCATTCTGAGGGTTCTTTAAACTGAAGTTTTATTTATTTTACTTTTTCAGTTTTACTGAAACATGACACATAACACTGTATTAACTTAAGATGTGCAACAGAATGACTTGTTATATGTATCTGTTGTGGAATGGTTACCATAGTAAGTGCAGTTGACTCTCACAGAGTTACAAATTTTTTTTTCCTTATGACGAGAATATTTAAGATCTACTCTCCCAGTAATTCTGCTTCAGTTATATATTTGAAGGAAACAAAATCACCATCTCAAAGAGATACGTGGTCCCAGGTCACTGCAACATGATTTAAAATAGCCAAGAGAGGGATGAATGGATAAAGAAAATGTTCAGACTTTTATATTGTTATCTGAAGCTGCACAAACTTTCTACTTTACCAATGCGATCTCTTCAGGCTTTGAGCATAAAGCCTAATGCTAAAACGGACACAGACCAGTCTCTTGTAGAGGGGTTCCTAATAAACGCAAGCACTTCATGATATCTTGGAGACTACTGTAGATAAAACACCCAAATTCCGAGGTATTGTACAGATTTTGAAACAGAAAGAAAAAAATTAACCAGAATTGAAATGTGAGGATACCCTAAACCAGTTTTTAAATTTCGTTTAAAAATAGCTTTTTGATAGGAATTATAGTTTCCTTTTTATTAAATCAGATAAGCAAAGAAAACCAGCACTGACCGCTTTCCTTGTCCCTAGGGAGCCTGCTGTGGGCTCTGGGAAAGAACATCTCATTCTACCCGACAGGGTACATCCCTGAGGACTTGCCCCAGTGGCTTAGCGGCATCGCGCTGACCGGGGAAAGTGTGTTCCTATTATCGCCTTGCATTTCAAACATTATGATTATTTTGTTTAATACCTGACCTGACTACATGGCTAAAGGAAAACTTTTCATATTTTCAGTTCCACCAAAATAATCTCCTTACACAATGAAAGGAACTAAAAGCTACTCTTCTATCCGAGCACGTGATGCAATCCTGCCATGTAAACACCCCAAGGGCTCCCGGGGGTTCGGGAAAGCTCCCCGACTCGGGAGCGTGCGGAAGCGGGCCGGTCGCCGTGCGGCCCTCGGTGAGCTCCCTCAGTCGGGTTACCTTGTGAGCGCCGATGATGTCAGGGAAGCAGCCGAGGAACCCCTTGTACTCGTGATTACATTCCATCAGGAAATGGAGGTCTTTCTTTGGCTGCAACGAGACACCGCCTGAGCGTTACTGGCAGAGGAACTGAGGCCATCGAGGGAAGGAGACTTCTGCCTGCGGACCGCATTAGCCACGCGCCCCCGTACTGCGCTAAGGTACTGAGGGAGAAGCTTTCAGGTCAGCTTTCTTGGGTTGAACCCAAGACCTTCAACCATAGGTTGTAAAGAAAGTGATAAAACATCAGGTAATTTTTTAGCTGGCTGGTAAAATTAGCTATTTTGAAGGGGCCTGAAATAGTATACCATGAGGAAAAATAACACCAAACACCTAGTTAGGACTATATGTTACATACAAGGAAATAAGATGTTAAAGTGTTTAAATTTTAGCAGAGAATATGAAAATATTACTAAAAAAAAATCTAGTAACCACTTTAAGTGGCAACTTTAACAGTTTTCATTTTCCTGGATTATAATTTTTATAACTATGTCATGCACAGGTCTGAAAGCTCACCTCTGTTACAGGGGTCAGAGAGCACTTAACAGCATGAGTGTGTGTTCATGGGGACACGTGAGCACATGTTTTAAACAGTCAAAGAAAACCTCTGAAGAAAACCTTTTTTTAGTTTAGGGATTTGAAACAACTTCGTCCTTAAAAGAACTTATTTCTGTGAAAAGAAGTGAGATGGGGCCCCTAGGGGCTCTCATCAAGGCTCTCATCAAGGTGCAGTGACAAAGGCGTGTTCCGGGCTGGGCTGGAGCAGGTGCCCCCTCCTCCCTAGCTGCGAGCCCCGAGCTCCTTTCGGCAGGCTCCGCCACTGCTGCTCCCCGGAGAGGAAGCCGAGCGAAGGAGAGTCCGGGCGGCCTGGGGCACAGCTCCCTCCTGTGCTCTCGGACCCCTGAGGCACCGGGAGGTGTCCTTTTAGATTTCTTGATGACAGTGTTATCAGTCACTTTAGCTTAACCTAAGAAACACTATTACCAAATACAACTAACAAAGATGTGTAAGAATAGGAGAGGAGATCCATTTGGAAAGTTTGTCTTAAAACTGACTTTAAAGCAAAAGTGGATTAGACCGCATGAAATCTCAGCCGGCCTTGAGTGGCCGCGTTAATACCTGTTCTGCCACGAGGCTGGCGATCTCTTCGTAAGTCTTTCCCGCCTCTGTGATTGCATCGTTGAGATCCGTTTCTCCTGAAAGTCATTACACATCAATAGCTGTGAGTCACAGTGTCTTTTCATTCACTTGATTAAACACCTTTATTATAGACAACTTCAAACTTTTCAAAACTAGACAGACAATATAATGAATCTCCATCTACTCATCACCCAGCTTCCCAGTGAACAGTTCATGGGCAATGTTTGTTCACCTACACCGTCCACTCCCACCTCCCCTTTCTCTGGCCATATAACATTTCATCCATAAATTTTACCCAGAATATAAGGACTCTTTAAAAAATGGGAACACCACCATATCACGATTAAGACAAGACAACTGTCCCTGACATAAATCAGTCAGCGTGCAGCTTTCTGGTGTCTCAAGTCCTGTGGGAGGCTGGGATTGGACACAGAAACGTCCACATGGCACATGTTTCCTGAATCCACAGGCGCCTCCTCCCCGGGCGTGCGGAGGAACCCAGGCCGCTGCGCTGGTCCCCACCGTCTCTGCTGTGAGAGCCCCCGCTCTGCTCCCTGTATCTCCGTTACGCTAGTTCCATCTGGAGGCCTGATCGGATTCAGAGGACACAATTTCCAGTTACTTCTGTTTTGTGTGATGTTCGAAGCCACGTATGGGCACTGTCCAGGCTTTTGTTTTAGTATGGGTTTGCAAAAGTCATGCTAGTCCACTTCTCTCACTCTTTACTCGCTGAAATACTTCCATAAAGAGAAACCTTCCTGTATCAACTCTGTGGTCACCTTGAGGTGCAGGGATAGGAAGCACAGGTTAAATGCATGATTCTTCCTCTTTACAGTTTTCAGAATAGTGAGCTGACCCTGCACCATGTTCCAAAGGTACATGAGATTAATGCTTCCTGAAGTAACACTGCATTACACATGGATTTAGACATATTTGATCTGCGTCATGCTAATGAATGAAGTGCAGTTATTATTGGCACTAATGCTCAAATCTCTCCTTCATGGGTCAGTTAGTGGAAGGCTCCTCAGACTGGCACCAGAGTTCTCCTGCTGAATAGGAACTGGCTCGTCTGGTGGAGCACGGTGTCTAGGGCTCACCATGCCGGTTATTTTTCTACTGGACTGGCTCATTGGTTCTAGGTCTTTTTGCTGAACAGAGCAAAGCAAACCTGTGTTTCTAATAAAGAAAAACACTGCTATACGAGATACAGCTCACACTGGATTCTCCACTTCAAAATTAGGACTACAGGGTTTTTCCGAATATATTTTTAAACTTGATTTTTATCTGTTATTTTAAAATCATAGTGTTAACAACAGTAACACAATTACATATTTGCTTCCCCTTGCAACATGTAAAATAATTTTAGAAGTTTTGGAATCACAATACTAATATTATATTGCTAATCATATGATTATTGAAAATGATTTTTGCACTCCTTTACACCATAGGCATCTGCTATTAGGGATGTACAGTCAAAATACAGTGTTTTAAGGTGACTGAAGTAATTCCTCTTTCTGTGGTTACGCCTTCATCTTTCTATATTACGTCATTTGTTTTATTTCGCTTTTGTTTCTTGGGAATTTTTTTTAACATTTTGACTTAAATTTGTTTTCTAGTGCTTAGCACAACATTCATGTTTCCAAAGTCAAATTTACAAAAAAAAAAAAAAAGGTTTGATCAGAAGTCTAGTTCCTGTATCTGCCCCTTTCTTCCCTACAGATAACCATTTAAAATTTCCTATCAGTTACATTCCCATGATGACCCACAGCACGTGGAGTGCTCCTCGGGTTGGGGCGGGCCTGCTGTGCCTCTGCGGGGGTGCGGCATCAGTGCGCACGGCTCGCGGGAGCCGGGGCACTGCATCTGCGGGGACCCGGGCAGCCTCAGGGACAGAGTGCAGCCCTGGCTCCAGGAGGCTGCGTGCCTGAGCTGAGGGAGCGCGGTCGGACCCTGAGCCCACTGCTGCCTACCTGCACTTCCCTCAAAACGGGGAATCCCATCAATGGGGACTGGAATACACATACGGGGGCCCCAAATCTTAAATCCTGGTGAGACTAATTTCATATTCCTGAAAACACTCACACATGGGCATCCAAAGACCTACGTCCCCGGGTATCAGGAGAAACACTTCAGGGACAGCACCGATTCTGCCATTTCTGTGAGCGCCGAGACACACTCAAACTGAGTAGGTGCCCCTCACCTGACAAATACTGTTACTTCCTGCCTGCTCCTGGGCCAAACTAAAAATATAAGGGAAAACAACTCACTTGTTCTCATAAGGGTTAGCAATATAAATATACAATAAACCTGAAATACCTCAGGTAAGATATACAACATGGGATAAACTGAAAACAATTACACGTTATGGAGAGGATTTAGGTAATGTGACTTTGTTAGTCCAAAGTTTTTTCCTCCTAACGGCCTTGATGAGGCCTGGCCTTTAAGGGGCAGGCACAACCTGACCTCGACTCGGCAGACAAGGCAGGGCGGAGGGCTGGATGCCACAGCCACCTGTTCCATTAAACACAAGAGCTGTGCAAAAAAAAAAAAAAAGTGGGGGGCGGGGGCAAAGAAGCTAGCAAGGAAATGCAAATAACAGCCCTCCACTCTTCTTAAAAGCAACAAGGTGAGGCTGCACAGGTCCCGGACCATGGAGTCAGCGCCGAGGGAGTTGGACCGCAGAGCTCGTGTCTGTCTGTAGGACCCGAGGAGGCCGCCGGCCTGGGGAAGACTCTCCGGCCTCAGGGAGGAAATAAATAAAGACACACCTTGATAGCCACTGGAACTGAACACTGCTGCTAAACTCTGCAAGGCCTTGCCGATCTTCTGATACTCCTTGGGTAACGCTGAAAGAGAAAAAGGAAATCGACGGTCATCTCGTCCTCTGAGCAAACTGAAATGGGATTCAGCTATTTTTTAAAACTGATTGCTTTTTTTAATAGAAATTTGAAGTGATTGAAAATAGTCTATATTCTCTCATAAAATGATTGGGTTTTTTAAATCAATGATTTTTTAATTGAATTCTCTCAACTTGTAATTAGCCATCTGTTCAATGACTGGTGGACGTTGTGGTTAGCGGCTGCCACCGCGGCCCACATTCCCGTCCACCGAGTGAAACAGAAGCGGGCCAGCAGCCCGTCGGACGGTGACTTTCAGGGTGCAGAGTGCTTTCTCTGAGGCCACTCTGCTCGACCGTCACAACGACCCCCCTGCCAGATGCACAGACCCCTCTGCTTCATGGGTTAGGAAAATAAGGGTCAGATAAGTAACATGCCGTCCCTGGGTCACAAGGCCAAGACACGGTGGGTTGGGCCCTTATGATTCCAATTACATTGCTTTCCCCACTCTTTTATGTATATATAGATAATTATTTGCAAAACAAAACAAAACAAAAACCTGAAAGCACCAAGATGTGGAGAAAAAAAAGGCAGTGGGACTTCAAAGGACCAGGGAGGAGGGACTCGAGTCTTCTCATCTGTGTACTAAGAAGACTGACCGCTCTTTAAGGTTCCTCCTAGTGCTGAAGTTCTAGGATCCTCGGATCCCTTCGGAGAACTTCCAAAAGACGAGTCTCTGTATCTTAGGCGACTTTCTTTGCATCTGCACAGTCCCCTGAGACACACCTTTGCCTGTGTCGCCCCCTTGGGCGAGCACAGAGGGGCTCTCCACGTGGTTTCGCTGACAGAAGCCATGAGGATGGCAGAGGCCCGTTCAGGGGGAGGCCCCCGTGGCCTCTCTCCTGCAAAGGGCCAGACACTGAGTACGCCAGGTGCTGCGGGGCCACAGGTGTCAGCTGCCACTACTCGGCTCTGCCACTGTCACACCACCGGGGCCACAGACAACATGAGAATGACGGGGGCGGCTGTGTTCCTGCAGCACTTTGTTTCCAAACGCGGGCGGCCCCGACCGGAGTGGGCCGGCTCCTGACAGGAGCCCTCGGTTTTGGGGCGGGGCCAGCAGACCCCGGACCTGCTCTTGGCTGTGCTGTGCTGCTTTAATAATCCATCCACATGTTACTCTCACTCAGTTTCTTGTTCATTAAAAGTGTTTTCTGACTTCAAATTCTGATTTTTCCCCCCATTATTTAGAGAAAAAAAATACCACCTTTAAAAAAAATCTTTATAAAAACAGATAATTTAACCTCTTTCCTATGCTGAGCACCAAAGTATTAATATAATTTAAAAGTGGATATGTGTTACTTTTATAATTCAAAGTAAAGCCATTTTTATTTTAAAAAAAATAACTGGGGACAGCCAGTGTTCTTGCAGGTTCTAGTGACAGACGAGCAGGACCGTATTCGCCAGAAACTGATGTGCGTCCACCATCATGGGAGCTCAGAAAGCGGGGATTTCTCTCTGGGGCTCAGAAGGCTGTGCCGGCAATAAGGGCAGAAGAGAAGTAGAGGGGAGGCATCTCTGACCCTTTGAGGCAGTCGGACACCAGTGTGACCGGTGTGAGCCTCCGGGAGGAGAAGGGAAGATGCTGGGGTCCCCTGGTCGCACGCCCGTTTCTAGCCAGGGCTGTCTGACCCCAGGGCTGCGTGCCTCTGGGGAACACAGGAAACGTGGGAGGGCAGAACAGGAGTCCACAACTGAAGGGAGGCGGGGAGACCAGGAGCCCTCGAGGACACGGAACAGCCGGCAGGGAGCCACAGCTGACGGCGCCGCACCCCTTGGAGGTGCTCCTCGTCTGACCTGTCTGCCAACTGCACTGGTTTTTCCTAAAAATTAGAGCCTGAGTCACAGCAACACCTTGCCAATGGATGAAGATGAAAAGGTAAAATTGTGAGATAAAAAATAACCACAGGCATTGTGTAAGCATGCAGAAAAGATGAACTTCACATGGATTACAACACCCCAGAGAATGGGACCCATTTAGGCAAACATGGTGTCTTTTGTGAGGTCCCGAACTGGCTCTGTGTGAGCCCACTGTCTGGTGTTCAACTTGGGCCGAGACGTGAGGTTCATCGAACGGCTGGGGAAGGACGTGACTCTGGGCCACTAGACGCATCTCTGTCTGAGGTGCTGCCGCCCCCCCGCCCCGCCCCTGCCCCGTGAGGACGGTGGTGCCTGCCCGCGGGCACGAGGCGCACTCACGTCCGGTGCATCGCTTCCAGTGCTCCTGCCCCACGGTCAGCAGCTCCTTCACGCCGTCGTCCATGGCCTTGGTGAACTTGCTGACGGCCTCGCACTTCTGCTCTCTGTGGGCGACAGCATGGGAAGGCCCGCCCTGGGCTTAGCCGCCAAGCGCCGGGGCAGGGGAGAAATGCCGGCGAGGCCGGGGAGACTCACAGTGCACGCACCCACAGGCCCTGGTTTTCCTGTCTTATAACAACTGCCCTTTAGGTAAATTAGTATTACACACAGGCTTGATTCAGGCTTTCAGGAAATACTTAGTGGTGTCATTTTTATTTTACGCTGCTTCCTTTCCCCCTCAATTCCTTGTGAGCGGTAAATAAAATTATTCTAAAAAAGTCCTCATCTTATGAACATCTTATGTAGTGAAATCCGATCATGGGAGGTACCACTGAACCTATAAAGCAGTAATGTGGGTTGCTAATGGTAGGAAGTCATTCTTTCCAGCAGCGAATCACAGAAAATAACCTGGATTCACAAATATCCAAGGCAGCGATTTTCAGCCAATGCATCACAAGAATCTTTAAAACAGTCAAATCCTGACTATTTAGTCAGGTGCACTGACCTCTTTTCCCTTAGATTGTCAAATTAAAAAAAAGACAACAGCCAACACAATAGCCATTTGGTGTGAATGAATACAAATTATACCTCCTTTTTTCAGATCAGCAAAAAAAGCATTGTTTTTGGAGTGCCACAGAATTTCAGTAATTAGCTTATAGGTGCCATCAGATGGCAAAAGTTGAAAATCACTGATCTAAGATGACACTGAACATATCAGTTCTTTAAGGGTGTAAAAAGTATCTACCAACCTGAAAAAAAAAAACCATCACTATAATACCCTTAGATTAAAAGAAAAAGATTATAAAAAAGAATGGTCCTTTCTGTTTAAACAATTATTCCTTTAGATACATACGTACAGAGGAGGGTTTGGAAGACTATGATGAAGGCCAACATACTAACACTGATTTTCTCTCTGGGTAGTTGGAAGACTTTTTTTTTTCCTTGTTTTTATTTTTGGTAACACACAAGCAATGATTTTACAAGAAAAAGTTCCTTAAATATAAACCCCAAGACTTTTTATTAGTCCTTATATAGAAAAGAAACTCCTCCAGATTTTCAACCAAGCCTATATTAAATAAAAATGCCATGACTAAAAACAACAGAAAAAGAACTCAGAAGGGCAGGTCGGAGACTGGCTCCTTCAGGGTCCGGCTCCCAGGAGCCCTGCCCCGCGGACGGTGAGGTGCCCGGCTGGCCCTGGCTGCCTAGCTCCACCATGCTTTGTTTACTGGAGGAGTGACCGGCTGCTACGTCAGCTCTGAAATCGCTGACTTCACGGTGAGAAGGAAGCAGGCCTCCCCCTAGGTTCTGGCTGGGAAGCTGTGCTTTCATGCACTGGTGGTGCTTTCCTCGTCCTCTGCGTACCGGCCCCACTCATTTCTAGGCTCAGCCAGCAGTCTGACTTCCACTTCCGGCCGTGCTGGCCAGACCTGTGAGCGAAGGAGCGGCCACGGGGGAGGAGAAGGCAGGTTGGCAGGATCTCTTACATTTCGGTCAGGTCCAAGTCAGGGGCTTCTGGCTCCATCGTGGAGAATATCATAACGCCCACCAGCTCATCCTTCTCAGCCTTCCTCTTCCCGGTTTTCCATTCCTACAAACGGGAGAGCTGTGAGCAGGGTGTCCGAGAGCAGAGCCAGACCGATCTTTCAACACCCCGGGTCGATGCCGCTTGCCAATCGTCTCTGTCCCGCTCCTTCTCAGGAAGCAGCTCCCACGCCCACCCCTCCGTGCAGAGCCAATGCCCCCACGCCCCACACGTCACCTCGCACGTGAGCAGGGCCCTGTACGGCACACCCTCTGTGAGCCAAGTCCTTCCTGGGCGAGGTGACCCAGCCAAGGTCCCTTCCCCAGGAGCTACCAATCCAAACAGTGAGTATGAACACACCCTAAGAACTGTGACCAAGCGCCTCAAAATTTTAGGTTTAGTTCTAAAAAATGGTTAAAGCTTCTCTAAAATACAAGATACAAATACGTTATGAGCGAGTTTAAATCATGGTATTGTAAGGTATATAGAACATTTATACCCATACATAGAAAAGTGCCCAGTACAAAAGCAGCCAGTGCGAGGAGTTCTCACGAAGTGAACGCCTGCGTCACTATCACCAAGACCACGGCAGGGACGAAGCCCGCATTCCAGGGGCCCCTCCTGTCCCTTCCCAACCACCCCTTCCCCCCAAGATAACATCACCCTCTCCTTTATGTTGCCATTGCCTCGCTGTTCTTTATGTTTACCACGTAGGCACGGGTCCCTGAACTACAGTTCTGCCCGTTTTCTAAACCAGCGCAGACTCTGCACTCTACATTTCCTGTGTGCCTGGCTTCTTTTGCTCAACCTGTGCCGAGGAGCTGCGTTCGCACTGTTGGTAGTGCTGCGCAGCATCCCGGCTGTGTGACTATCCCCCACTTATTTATCGATTCTAAGACCAGCAGTCACTCCTGGCCCTGCCAAGTTATGAATGAAGCTGCTATGTATATGTATTATTCATCATATGAAATTCTTTTCCAGCCCTGGCTGGTGTGGCTCAGTGAATGGAGCATCGGCCGGTGAACCAAAGGGCCACCGGTTCAATTCCCAGTCAGGGCACAGGCCTGGGTTGCAGGCCAGGTCCCCAGGAGGGGGCACATGAGAGGCAGCCACACCGTGATGTTTCTCTTTCTCCTCCCTTCCCCTGTGTCAAACAATAAATAAGTGAAATCTTTAAAAAAAAATTTGTTACGAAAAAAGAAGAAACTGTTTTCCAAATGGTCCTACCAAATTGCCACACCCGCCCGCAGTGAGAGTGCCAGCAGCCACCCGCCTCACTGAGAAGATGCCTGATAGGTCAGAGCTTCAGGTGAGTGTGCAGTGGTAGCCACCACGGTTTCACTTCACATTTCCTTTGTTATTAATGAGATTAACTACTTTAAAAAATACATTTGTTGAGGATTCAGATACTGTTTTGGGGGAAGTACACTAACAAATCTACAATTTTTCTATTGCGTTGATTATCCTATCTTTCTGTGTAGGTTTTCATATACGCTAAAATCCAGCCCTTGGTTGGTTATATGTGTTCATATCTTAGTTTGTTTTTCACTTTTAATGGCTTCTGCTGATAAACGGAAGTTCTTAATTTTAATGCAGTCTAATTTACCAGTCTGTTCCTGTGTGGTTAGTCATTTTTGTGTCTTATTTCAGAAATTCTTCCCTAATGTAGGGGAATGAAGATATTTAGACCTGAGACTGATCTGAAATGGATTTTTAAAAATCTTCATACAATGGAAACTTCCAAACATATACAAAGGTAGAGAGAAAGTACAATAACCCCCTATAGACTCAACCTTCAACAATGATAGAACTTTTGCCAATTTTGTTTTATCTACTCTCCTCCAATCTACCTATTTTTCTTGCTTATTTAAAGGGAAATCTCAGGTATAATATCACTTCACCTATAAACACTGCGTTACATAACTTTAACAGGTAAGGCCATGTTTTAAAAACGTAACCACCATACTAGTATCGGTCCTCACAAGATCAACAGTACATTGCGATGAGGTGGTGACAGACTGCATTTTCCCCAACGGTGCCATCTAATGGGCCGGCGCCGTTTAGCAAAAGGACTGCCCCTCCCCCACTGGACTCAGCATTGTCTGTCACAGAGCGTGTCCGTTCTGTTCCGTTCGGATGGTCTGTTTATCTTGACGCCACTGCCCTGCTTCTGAAATCCTCCAACTTTCCAGGGAGCCTTGCTTGCCAGTAAAGTCCTCCTCCCACTTCCTTCTTTTTCAAGAGCATCCTGGCTCTTCTTAGTGCTCTAATTTTCTACATACGACACATTTACTGTTCTTCAATCCATGAAAGATACAATATTATCGAGAAATTTATTTTCTTCTTTTATTTTTCTCAACAGTTTCATAGTTTTTATGCACATCTTTTGTAAATTTTCTTGTCCTTACTCCTAAATATTTGATACTTTTCATGCTGTTGTAAATGATAGTGTAAACTTTCATTTTCTGTTTATTGCCAATATAGAGATATACATTATCTTGTGTTCAGTTATCTTACTAGCCATTCATTTCTAATAATTTTTCTGCAGATTCACTGGAATTTTCTGTGTCCATTCATCTATAGGAGCTACTACTGACCACAAAAATCACAGTTTTTAGTGATCTCCCAGTTTTACACTTTCACTTAGCAGGTGATGAAACTGTGGCCCAAAGAGCTGAAATGCCAGGCCAGGATCCAGAGGGAGCTGTACGCAGAGCCAAGACCGGCGCTCAGGCCCCTGACTCCTTTGTCTTTTCTGCCACTTTTATGGTAAGTGGATCAGCCTTTGAAGGCAGAAGTCATTGAAAAACAAAACACATCTAGATTATTATTTTAAATAATATTCTGCATAGAACATGACCTTTAGAAGTGTTTTCTAAACCAAACCCTTGCTGAAGTCCTGTGAATCACCAGGAAGGCAGGAGCCTTGGAGGGAGCTTCTGTGACTACAAAGTAACAGAACTGACTTGCAGAGCTGGAGGAACCCAGGGCAGCCGCCAGACGTGCTGTGGCTGGGATCAAACCCTACCAGAAAACCAGCGTTTCCCAGAGCAGCCTGTAAGGCTGGGCCTGTGAGACACACAAATTCACAAAGAAATGCTAAAATACCTGCTGTTTTCTAACTCCCAACTGGTTACATACAACATATTCAAATAAGCCTGTCAATTCTAGAAATAAGCAGTAGCTGGGGAAAATCCCCCAAATATTTACATCATGTTAAGTGTATGTGTATGTCTATAAAAACACAGAGCCCTAATGTTTAAGCTTATTTGTAAATGTGGTCACTTTAATTAGGAAGAAGTACTACAAAGAAATTTAGCAAGTGTATCTCTGTCCGAAAGTTTCAACAAGGTATATAGTATCCTATTAGTTGATTAAATACAAAAATCATTTCACGACTGTTTTTCTAGGGTCATAATTTATGTCATCTCTGTTGGCATCTGAGCTAATATATACTTTTATTCTTATTTTCCAGGATATGTAGTAATTGTTATGAGAGAAACTATGGAGAAAACATCTTTAGAGAAAATACCATAAAGAGTGAATTAAAAGCTTATTGAGAGAGAACACTATTTTCGCAGACAATAACGAGATGCCAAACTGCCCATGTTTTCTTGAGTACCATAGAAGACCAGATGACCGTTGACCAAAAAAAGACTGCCCACAGGCACAGGTCAGCATTTCCTTTGGACTCACAACTACAGTTCTGGAAAAATAACTTTGCTTTGAGAAGAATGGTCCCATTCCAAACCGACTCTTCCTTTCAAAATGCACTGCACTGCAAGGTCAAGATGTGATCATAAAAAACCATTAGCTGTTTCCCTCACTTTGCGCTGATAACCCTGCCTGGTTCGGGGCCCGACGTCTTTCCTAAAAGCGCCGAGGAACCGACGCCCTGCCTGGCACGCCCTTTGCCCTGTCCACACTGGGTCGGCCTGTTCGCTGTTTACCAGAAGCCCCCCCTGGCGGCAGTTCTTCCACATCCTGGCCTGTAGTCGGGATTTAGGTTTCTATCCTCTCGTCGTCGTTGGAGGACATGAGAAATAACCACCTAACCAACATGATGTTAACTCTTTTCAGACATAAAATTGGTGTGAATGTGACAATTCTCAACACACACTAAGACTGTCAAAATAAAATATCCTACCTTTTCATCCCGGAAGTTGAGAAACTGCTGGAAAACCTCGCTCTCTGAAATTACTGGGTGACGGCACATCCTGGTCATCCATGCCTGAAGCCTCTCCATGCGCATTTTGATAAATTCTTCTTCAAAGCGACCTGCAAGGGACACGCCGAGAACGATGTACCACTTTGTCTAAAATGAATCACTGTTAATACAACCGGAAAGCTGTTTGTAGAGCTAATGGCTGCTTGGTAGAGGGCTATTTAGTCAAACGTAAACCGTGGTAATTTTTCACTAATCTAAAAACAAGCAACAGAGAGACCGCTCAAAGGCCCACAGGAACGATCCAATAGACTTTTAGTTTATACGAGTAAGAATGAAATTCCAATTCGATTAATTAACAAACCTTTTAATTGTGACAAGAATATAGCCTTGAAGTGCTACTTGCTTCAAGGATCCCTAAAGTACTTATAAGTTTAAAAGTAAATTTTATTTCAATATGAAAAAACCTCTTTCTTGTAAAGCTAATATGTGGCCATATTAAGTCCTATAGGCAAGCAAGAGGTGACACAGTTGAATTTAATAAGTATTTCTTACAAAGTACATGAAACTTCTGTATTTATAAAAATGGGACCAAGTGTAATATAATCTCAGATATACAAATTTATTAAACTTAATATTTATGCGAAGTAACTGAGAACTGTAGATTTTTTTCCTTTTGTTTTTTAAATTACTTAAAATGAGAATACAAAAAGCAATTTTTCCATGAATGCAATGACTAAAGCTGCTATTCCAGAACTTACAACATCCTAAAACAGCTTAATCGTATCTCTGCTTTAAAGGTGGGAGATGGGCTTGACAAGCCTGACATGCTGAACATCACGTGAACGCCGAGAATTTTCATGAGCCTACCAGCCAAAATCGCCATCAGCTAAAAGGCTTCTGGAGACAGAAATTCCAGCTACAGTCAAATGGGGCAATCAGCCAATCCAGTCCCCCTAAAATAACTCTAAACCCAGACAATCACAACAACCAGTGCTCTGGAAATCAGCCGCAGGCAAACAGCCCTCTGAGGAATGTTAACGTCTGCAAAATTGCTCAGCTTCCGGGAGAGCCGTAGAGTCGGTGGCGCCCTGGCCGGGGGCAGCCCCGCCTCCTCCGTGCAGCCCCTCGCCTCCTCGCCCTCCACCGGGTCCACGTGGGGTTCTGCCAGCATGGACCAGGCCGTGAAGACAGCAGCCGCCGCTTTCCCAGCGAGGAAGGAGCCTCCCTGACCTGGAGCTGCGGGAGATGCCCGCGCCCAGCTGGTGGGGGGTGGCGGCAGAGGCGATAACAACCCAGAGGCTGGGGAACAGGGAGGCCAGCAGCTCCACTAGCCAAGGTCACTCGGTTGAGCCAGGACATGCTGGGCTGGGAGCAGAAACAGTGGAGACGTGATGGGGTGCAATCCAGGCACGCGCTGCTGGCCAACTCCGAGCCGCGCACACACAGAATGGAGACACAGAGGGGCCCTCAAGAAAGTGAAAACCAGGGCTAAGCTGAAAACGACCTGAGCGTTGCGTGTGCTCCCTGCTCACACATAGACCAACCCGCAGGGGACAGAGCGTTCAGGGTTTGAGGTGGGCAGACCACCAGCACACGCAGACCCATATGAGCCCTGGAAAGCCAAACTTAAAATGGTAAGAAGAAGAATAAGAGGGAGGAGGAGGAGGAGGAGAAGTCATCAGTGCGGCCCTGAGTTATGCCGATTCCCCATCAAGAACAAGTGAGTTGTATACCAGGAGTTTCAGGCCTACTCACTGGTTGGTTGACTCTTATTCTTCCTGACATTTTTCTGACACCGCTGATTTATTTCCAAACGATGACTTCAGATGTTATTTTGTGCTTGCTGAGGCTGTCACACCAGGTGTCGGAGAATTCGGGTAAAGGGGTGGGGAGGGACTTCCAAGTCCCCATTTTCAATGAACCTTGCTTAGGTTTTCACTAACAACATGAATATACCAGTTTTCTACCCAGGAGTAAAACCAGAGTCATCCAATATTATTTCACAAAGAACAAAATCCATGAATAAAAAAATGTTCGCTCTAAGATGTCCACGGGCCGAGCGGCAGCCCACAGGGGCTGTGACGTCATTCGGCTTCCCTCCTTCCCTTCCCCAGGACCCAAGTGAGCGGGGAGTGTGTATAATTATGATCCTGTGGCCTCGCGGGCAGGAGGCAACCAAGACGAGGGAGAGATAAAGTGACTTCTGTGCTTTGCTGCTTCCTCGGCACACGTCCCGGCCAGCGAATCAAAGCTCAGCTTTCTTCAGATGAGGGGCTGTTGCTTTCTGGCTTTTCTAGGGCATACCCTTGGCTTCAGGCCTGAACACTTTTTTTTTTTTAAAGAAACAAACCTTAATATGGGAATAGAACCATGACTCTGGGACGCTTTAAAACAGTGCTGAGTTATCTGACTTAGAATACACAATGTATTAAAACCTATGTGATTGGAGAAATCTCCTTAGCCCTAAAATAACTCAGTAGCCCATTTAGTTCAACACTCACAAATTGTGCCAATCGGGGTGATACAGGAGAAAACGAATTCAAGAAATGAACAGAAATTTGAAAATACAGAGAAAGGCAGATAGAAGTTGTTATGGAAAGAAATCCAAATTTTTAAAAACAGATGTGATTTAAAACAGTAGGATGACAGAAAGGAGGGACCAGTGAACACGTGAACTGGGCACAGAACCAGGGGTACAGTGACAACTCTCAAGTGGAAGGAGGCAGCCACGCACACTGGCCCAGCCGCCCTGACGGGCTTCCACCCACTGCGCCCGCTCAGCGTCACCCACACAAGGGTGAGGACCTGCTTAACCACATGGCAGTGCATCCCCGCCCCATTCTGCTGTGACAACTTGAAACTTAAAAAAATTCAAAATTGAAACAACTTTTTAAAAAACAAATGTTTCTATCTCCTCAAAAAATTTCAGAGAAACATAAAATGTAGAACAAAGTAAAGTTTCAAGGAGAACAACTCTCCTGTTCTGAGGTTGCCAACTCTAACCGAAGAGTGGTCGGCCACACCTCATCACGCGCCCGAGCAGGCTGGGAATCAGACTCCCCTGCTCTACAGCACCACCGAGCGGAGCGTGGTTGGCGCCGTCGCTGAGCCGGACAGCAGCGTGCCGTTCCCAGGCACACAGCCACCCGGCATGGAGGGAGGCACGTCACCAGGGCACGGACAGCGTCTGGAGCAAGCAGGCTCTGCCATCGGCCGGTCAGGACTCTCAGCTCCTCTCTGAGCTGGTTAGTGCAGCTCTCACTGTGCGAGGACTGAGCCCTGTCGGGTCTTCCCTTGCTTCGCAGGCTCCAGGTTTCTTCTCGCCAGGATCAGGTGAGCCTGCTGACGCTGCCCACTTGACTTAGAGGTCTAGCTCAGACCCGCTAAGCCGTGCTCTCATCTTTGATTCTCTCCTTTCTACACTTACTAGTTTCAGTATCTGAAGAATTTCTAGCTACACACTAAACTCTTTCCAATCTTTACTGAAGTTCAGCTTCTTTATAAACTTTTATTCCAAGAAAAACATACTGAGTCTTGAGTACTAATATTCCAGGTTCTATACTAGGAGATTAAAAAAAAAAAAAAGATGGCAGTTCTCTGAACAGACCCAGAAACAAATGCTCTCTGAGCGCCTATTCACCTGGTGCTGCAGAAGCACCACGGATTGCTGAGCTGATTATGTGGGGTGGGGCTGGTAGGGACACATGACATATTAATACATAAGAAACGGAGGGGCTAACAATCAATGATAAATAAAAACATCTACATGTAAACAGTCAACGACGTAACTGAGCAGAAAGCCTTGCCACCCCTACAAAGCCCCGCGGCTGCGCCCCCGATGCTCTCCCGCTGCTCACGAAGCCGCACGCTGGCCTGCGTGCAGTGCTCACGTTGGCCCGGAGTTTTAGTCCCACCTTAGGCTACGTGGATCATTGCCATTTTCTCAGGTAGCATTTTTCACATTTAAAAAGTCCATGTATTTCTTCTACAGGAAGGGGCGTAGCAGTAAAGACACAGTGACTGCCAGAGTTCAAGGTATGCATACAAGACCTCTGATGGAAAATTCTATGACACTTTCTGGTTAGGTGTTTCAGTAACTTCCAAGTATGTGCACAGTATATACAGCTGTACGGAGTTGCTGTGTCCTGACTCCTACATCTGGCCCCTCCGGAGGGCGGACAACGCCATCCCTGATTTACACCAGGACACTAACGGGAGCCTTCGTCCTGGGCAACCCGAGTCCCGCATCACACGCACTCACCTGTGACTTGCTTGTCTGGAAGAGAAGGGATTGGAATGGCTGACCCAAACTTAACCAGGAGACGTTCATATAACCAGTCAAAGTGCTTATACCTGTGGTTTACAGATCGATTAGTATTCTACAAAATAAGGGAAAAAGGAGAGAAAGTTACAATGCCAATGACAGGAAATGAAGAAAAAAGCCAGTTCTAACTAGTGACGTAAGCATGGCTCTGCTTTTAATAACTTGGATACTTACAGTGGGTGTTAGCTGATACTCAATGTAGCTCTTCAGCCCATACATTTTGGAGCCTTTCCTGGGATCTGCTACCACACAGTCAAAGGTAGAGGTAGGATAAACCCACATTGGGCCATAATCTCCAACCTACACAATGTGCCAGGGAGAGTTAATTTTGTTACAAGGAAAAAATAGTAGGCAAAATTTATGTAAGTCATCGAACGATTCTCTTTAGGACCCGAAGTCCTTTAGGGGGGTCATTCTTCCCTTGTTTGAGAAGTGTCCCCAACGCTCTCGGCTCGGCTGAGGCCGTCCGGCCGGGCGCGCCCGCCAGCACGCGCTCTCTGCTCCTCACGGGCCGCCCGCGCAGGAGTGCGGACGGAACCCTGTCTCTCTCTCTCTAGCCCACTCGTCTTAGTTCTCTGTATAAAAGGCTAGTTTTTAAAAATTTCTTATCTATCATGGGCCTGGTTTGTGAAATAGAAAATCACACCCTCGGATGTCTGAACGATGCCAAGCTGCCATCGAAGTTTCCCAACACTCTCATTTTCTCTATGCTCAGTCCCAAGTCTTTGTAAAGGTGGAAGAAGAGAAAATGGGGTAGGGTGTGAAAGTTCAGAGGTTAGTAGGTCAGGATGATGCCTGGGCTCCAGGAATAAGGAACAAAAGAGAAGATCTCAGACAGGCTACTCTGGGTCCCCAAGGAGGAGCCCGGACCTAGAACACTGTTCAAGCTAAGAGCGGACAGCTTTAAGGGGGCCTCTGGGGAATTTCTCACTGTGACTGGGACCAAGAGAGGCCATTCTGATCAACAAGGGCTCTGTAGTCATGGGTCACATTTTATTAGTGTGTGTGTGTGTGTGTGTGTGTGTGTGTGTGTGTGTTGCGGGGCGGAGGTAGGGGGTGGCGGGGGCGGGGTGTGCGGTGTAGGCTGCTGTGCCTTAAAAGCAAAAACCCAGGTCTCTGCTGGTTTCCCGAAGCCACGATGGCTCTCCTAGGTCTCCTTTCTCATGCGAGCAGCCCACGCAACCAAGCCTGCCCGCAGGGCGCATGGCCCAGTTCTACCTAAGACTTTTGGGACACAAATCCTGGGGTCCTATATTCTGTTCCACCATTGCCATGCTGTGACCGAGTCCTCTTTGAGAACCCAAGGGGCAGGGCCATGGGCTCTTAACTGTGTGGAGACTTAAATTTAATTAAAAGAACCATGATTCACGTTCAGTATTTACAAAAAAAGTCTGAAGAAAAAGAAAATAACTTAAAAATTCTTAAACTGATAACACCATTAAGAATATCTGTCTTTGACTACCTCAGAAGGTAATTATCCCGAATTTGCTTTGAGGGAAGAAAAAAAGGGGTCTTGGTCATATCTGTTCTTTCTGGAGGTTTCTAGGTTCAAGTTATAGGAACAAGATGTAAAATAAGTCCAATATCATTCTTGCTACTTTACCAAATTTCCTAGGACCCAGAGATTACAGAGTAAGACCAGCCGTTCCCTCCTTGTTTGAGTCAAGGGTGATTTCGCACAAGGTTTCCCGACCTACGGTGACAGGGTGTGGCCCACAGGGCCAGGAGACCGCCACGGTGCTCTTTTTCATCTGGGAATACCAGCTGTGTAATGCTTGGAGAGGAAATCTACCAGTGATCAACGTGTGGGTGAAACCAAAGAGCCCATACATGTAATGCTAACTATCAAGTTATGCTAAGACAGATATCCTTAGTGTGTCATTAACTCCCGGCTTTTACTTGCTGGTTCCTTATTCTGACCTGACAGCTGGTTAACTGGAAGAAAGACTGACTATTACCAACCTAGTGGAAAAGGCACCTTATTCTGATAACATGCATGTACTTCGCCAGGAAGAAACCTAAATATTTGATCTGGGTTTATTAGCTAAATCTATACGGCTGGTAGGAAAACAGCCCAGGAAAGATACTTCAAGACAACTCAGAGATGAAAAATGATTAGAAGAATACATATGCTACTGGTGGTGTTGGGCCAATGACTAAATCTGAAAGGTAAATGCAAAAAATATCTAAACAGTATAAAGAACAGGCATTAATTTATGCTAATTTAGTACTCTTAAAATACTAACATATATTGTCAGTTTTTTGGAGCATTCAATGTGTTTAAAAGTGCTTTCCAAATGACGAATAATTCTCTTAGCTTTAAAGCACACAAAAGAGCTTCATCAGAAAGAGAGCAAACAAATAAAAACGAACAAACTTACAATGATAGGAATTTTCTCTTTGGGCTTGGCTAGTTGCTTAGCCAACAAATACTGCTCCATCCCAGGTTTTGCAAATCCAGGAAACCTAATCATGGAGACAAGAATTGTGTCAGGCCTTTCCCTGGAAGGATTACGCAGCTCAGTGCCACCGTTTTAACCCCTCGTTCTGTCTGTCAGATGTGCTGGGACTAGGAAACTGTGGTAAATGAAACCTACTGTAATCAGATCGTTCAGCAGCCAGTCAGTCACTTAATTAAGCTCTAACGGGCGAGAGACTCCAAAGGTGCGATATTTGTGGTGCTCTATTTGCTTAACAGGGTCTGACACACTCTGGCAGCCCCCGAAGAGTGAGGACAGGCCGGGGAACGCGTCCCCGTCCCAGTCACAGGAGGAGACGTCCCTGCGCCGGCAGTGGGGGCTGACCCCTGGGGAAGTGGCCATCCACAGCGACTCTATATGCAAATTAAAGCTGCCTTTCAACAGGTTCCCTCTGGGAAGCTGCAACTGCCCCCCAGAAGCTGCCACTGTTCATAGGCACCTGTGCTATTTTCTTTTGGAACTGCCAAAAAAAAAACAAAAAAAACAAAACCCCATCAAAACCCCCCCAAAAACAGTTTAGGAGACACAAAGGAAAACCAGAGTTCTTCAGAGAGACCTGAAACATAAAATTGGCTACTTCCAGGAATCCAATCTAAATTCAAAGCAAATCTCTAGAACTGGCGAAAAGCCAGGTCGATGCACAGCCCCCGAAGTGCTGCTTCTTGGGGAGACAAGGCTGGTTCGGGCTGCAGAAATTTTTGCGGATGCAAATTAGGGCTGCTCTGACTTGGTTTCAACCTGGAGTAACGTTTCAGAGCAGAAAAGTCCCGAAGCCAAAGCTTCACTTTAGAGACGAGGAAGCTAAGGTTCAAACAGGTCGCCCCACTCCCTCCAGACCCCATGGCAAACGAGCGCGCACCGAGCAGCAAGAGAGCAAGGGAAGCGGAGCCCGGGGCCTGGGTGCCAGCCGCCACCTCACTTTCCGGCTACGGAAACTTGGCCAGCCCTGTCTGTGCCTCAGTCTCTGCTTCTTCACTTTCAAACATAGACAAAGAGACACGTTCTATTTTAGTGGGTTTTAAATATCCTTTGCGTTCAGGTTTAAAGAATAACGAAGAGTCACATGCGTCACTGCTGACCATACTGAAAACTTCCCATTTGACTCTAAGAAACAGGATACTATCAATAATGAATGACTAATTTTATTATACAAGCAACTAAGCATAAAAGTACATAACGAGAGAAACTAGACAGAGAGGCAGGAAAAGTAGGTGGCTGGAAGATGACATTTAATCACTGATACTATTTAAATATACTAAGGAGACCTGTAGGACTTATTAACTTATATATATATGTGTAGATCTAGAACGAGAGCCTGATACCTAGATAGATACATCAAACATTATGTTTACAATGTTTTTCCAACATCAGTGAACATTCCTTGGCATCTGCTTTGATGCATGCACTTGGAACACTGAGAAAAAGTATCAGTCATTTTAGAAAATACAACTATTTTAAATGTAACTGCTGTAAGAAGAGAGCACTTGAAGAGTCTTACATGTGTTGTAAGTTACATCTCCTTGGAGCTACACTGGAGAAACCGTGGGCTCGCTCAGAACTCTCCACCAAGGGCAGCCCCACACTCTGTCCACGCTGCCCACGTGCTTTCCTGCTGGCAGCGCCTCTAAAAATACTGCTCAGAACTTCTTTTTAACAGAAATCCAGGTGAAAACCAAGTCTTAAACACATGAGGCACAGCGTAGAGCCTGTGGCTCAGGAGGCTGAGGGACTGGCCTGGAATCCTGACCAGATCACTTACACCTGCGTGAGACCGGGCTGTTTCTTAACCCCTCTGGGCCTCAGTTCTCCCCACGGGAGAACAGGGACCCGCTGTACCACAAAGGGATGCGAGGGTCACATAAGAATGCACGCCGGCCGCTTCGCACAACGCTGGCAATATGGGGAGCGATACACTCAGAAATACACTCATAAAACACTCAGAAAAGAGTTATTACTTTTAATTTTCTGGTGACATCAGCAATGAAACCTTAACTTGTCATGGAGTTGACAGAAGTACATTAGTGTTTGCAGATCATTAAATAGGACAAATATTTCCTTTAAAATGAAAAAAATAATTAAAAGAAGTTACAAAGCTAAGATCCAAGTAAAAGTGAGCACATTGCAAAGCTTCGTAAGTCACTGAGAAGAGAAAAGCCTCTTTGCACCTCCCTCCTGCTGGTCCCACACAGCAGCCCCGCCTCCCGACGCCCCTTACTTGTTAAGCGGCAGCTTCATGGACGAGGAGCCAGGACGACTGTTCCCGCGCTGAATGCCGCCTGCTTCGGCCGCCTCTGAATCCTTGAAGTAGGGAGACGACGACTTGGGGTCGTCCCAGTCTTCGTCCCAGTCGTCATCGTCACCAGTTGCTGGGGGTGGGCACAGAATACGGTCAGTGAAGAAATGACCTAGTGTTCTGATCGTGACTACTGGCCGGGCTGGAGAGCTGAACAGGGAGCACCGTGTGCGCTCCGGCCGCACAGCGTGGCCACGAGGAGGACAGGCTCTGCCGTTGGTTCTGAGGCTTCAATGGTAGACTCTGCCTTTTTGTATGAAAGACGAGTAGAAACAGCTTAAAGAGGACTGTCAGTCCAAGTAACTCCACATGAATGCGGGCCACACGAACCTACACGGCGCCCAAGGGAAGGCCTTGCAGGGCCTACACGCCGCCAACCCAGCCTTACAAACGTGCGGACACAGAGCTAGTGCCCTTTCAGTCAAGAAGACTGGGGAGGACCAAAGGTATGAGAAACCTTTGAGAAGGAATTGTTTAACACCAACAATAACAAAGGTAGGAGAAGGGCAATGAGGGGACAAATGGGAGGAACAGGACAGGGACGGAGGGGAAGGGGAAAGGGAAAATGAGCGACGAGGAGTCGTGACCCTGCCCCACAGCCTGACAAACAGGCACCTCCCCGCCAGGTGCGGCCGCGAGCTTTCCTGCTTCCCTCCGCGGTCAGGCCTCTACCTCCTCCTCTGATGGCCTGCGGTGTCCTTTGGCTGCAAGGCAGGAAATGGCCCTGTGCTCTCTGCCCTCAGGGTGTCACCACCAGAGACACAAATGCCAGAACAAAAAGGAACAGCAAGCAGGAGAAGGATCTGGGCCAAGTTTCCCACGGCCATGCCACGTTACTATAGAAACAGCAGCCGCCTGGCCTCACGTCTCCGCTTAGCCCACAACGCGGGGACGCGGTGTCGGCTACAGTCGGCTCCTTCCACGAGGGAGCTCGGGGCCCGCTCCTGCGCCTTGTACACCCCTGCGTGCAAGTCCCTCACCAGGGAGCACATTCGAGTCCTGGCACAATGTGCTCATGTGGGGATCATAAAATATGCTGAGCAGATTTTTACCTTTCTATTTAATTTCAGAAAAGACATAAATATCCTTCCTTAATTTCTGAATCATTTCCTCTACTATATTCCTTTCCTGCCTCAGTATCTCCATTAATAGCCTGGGAGTCAAAACAGGTAGTTAAAGAAAAGAGGAAACGGTTAAGTCAGAGATTGTAAACTGGCAGGTGATAACCGCATTTGTACACATTTTTTTAGGCCAAGATTTAAAAGCAAATAAACGTGTGCTGATTGCCAAGATTGTAGAGGGGTCTCTTGCTTTGTGGATCTGGCCTCTGCGAGCATTTGCATTTGTGACCCCCTGGCAGGTAACTGAGGTCGGACTGAAGATTCTAAGTGGCAGCAGCGTGCGACAACAGATCCAGGCCACGGGCCTGCTGCTGCGGAAGGGGAGCCCCTGAGAGCAGTCCCTGAGGTCAAAACCCGCTGCTGCCTCGCCCGCCCCCGGCACTCGCGGTCAGGGCGGGCCGGCCCCAGCAGGCCCCCTCCTCACCTGGTCCGGGGTAGGCCTGCGGGTGACCAAAGGCGTTGTCCCAGTTACTGGACGAGTTTCTTGGGGCCGCAGTCCCCTCTGGCCTGGCTCCCCAGCCGTCCGTGCTGTCCCAGTTCCCAGGTTTGGAGGTGCTCCAGGCTGACCAGGGGTCATGGCCACTGCTGACCTGTGGTCAGGGGTGAAAAAGAGAGAACATTTGTGGCTTCTAGGAAGCGTTACTCAATTCAGTAGGAATCACAAAACAAGGGAATACGACAGGGATCCTGAAAGAAATCAGAAATTTAAAGCAATAGAAATAAATAAGAAAACATTTTAAATAACAGAAATGTTAAACATGGAGGGGGGCACAAAAAGCAGCATTAACCTGATTTTATTGATTTCAACATTTTACCCTATTTGCTTAGGAACTGACAACCAGTAACAAAGAAGCCGTTGGACCAGCGCCCCGCCCCCCAGCGTCCTCCCAGCTGGCTCTGAACAGCGGCGCTTCCTGCTGGCTCCTGCGCTGCCCTGGCGTCTGCCCTCATTCGTAAACAGCCCTCTTACACTTTCAAAACGGAACCAAGCGACAGTATGCTGTATGTGTTCCTTTGCACCTTGCTTCTTCCCACCTAACATTATGCTTTTGAGATTATACATGCTGGTAATAAGGATGTTTTATTCACTTGAACTGATTTAGAACCATCAGCTGTATTTTTATTAGGCTTTTATTTTTATTTGAAAAAAATAATACATTCCCAGTAAAATAAAACTCAAACAGAATCAAAAGGCATGCAATTAAACAAAATGTCCTCGGGTGAGGATAAAAAAATAAACATGCGTCTACTGTCTTAAGACGCCAGTCAGCCTTTCAAGGACGGCGACCACTGACAATTCCTTGCATGCACTTACTCACACACCCACTCACAGGCCCCCGGTGTTTTTACACACGCAGCTTTCTGCGCGGCACCCCTGCTTCTTCTCCTCAGGTCCGGAGCGCTCTCCCCGGTGACCGGCACCCACGGGCGACGCCTGCCCTTCACGTGGCTCCACTGCACCTCCTCCCTGTGAGGGAACCGGCCCCTGGTGCCGTTCACTTACCTCCCTTTCAGTATTTTGCTTCTGTAAATAAGGCTGCAGCGCACGCCCTTATATATCCCCCCCCCGCCAACTGGGCGTACGCGAAATTCCCAAAGAAAAACTGCCAGGCTAGTGAGATCGGCATCGATGATCACCAGGCTCTGTCGCGCTGCTCCCCAAAGAGGCTGCCCAGTTACGTTCCTAGACTCCTACTGACGTGCGAAGGAGTCTTGTCTTGCACAAAAGGGGGCTACCATAAGCCAAAATTATTTTTAAGTATTTTTCTCCTGTTATTTGAGTAATTTTATAGTTTAATTACTCTTATAAATAAAATTTCTGAACAGGTGACACAGAACCTGATTTCAAGGAGCAGCGCAGTAAGAAGAGAGCCTGCTGCCCACCTCCGAGTCAAACGGGGTGTTTTGGGGTATTTTTTCCTCCTTGATTTAAAAGTTTAAATTCTTCAATCTGTTTGGAATTTACTTCAGTGTAAGAAATAACACAGCCCCGGCCAGGTGGCTCATGTGCCAAAAGGCTGCAGGTCCAGTCCCCCAATCAGGGCAGTACGGGAGGCAACCAACTGATGTTTCTCATGTCAGTGATTCTCTCTTTCTCTAAAATCAATAAACATATCCTCAGGTGAGGATTTTTAAAAAGAGAGAAATAATATAGGAATCCAGCTTAATCTTTTCTTTTAGTCTGTCTGCTGTCCTATCATTTAATGAATGATTCCCCCCGCCCCCACTGACCTGAAAGGCCCCCTTCACCCTACACTGGGCCGGGCCCACTTCCGGACCCCGGTGCAACCTAATGATCCATCTGGACTGGCCGGGCCGGGCTGCTCAGGAGCCCGCTGCACAGGACGCCATTAGCACGTCAGCCTGACATCTTTTACTGGTTTATTTTCATACATACACTTTAGCATCAGCTGAATATTTTAAACCTAAAGCAATCTGAACTTTAGCATTAGAGCGTCAAATTTTTAAAGGTGTGTTGATTTTCATTTCAATCACCTTAAATTTACAGATAAATTCAGGGAAAACAAATATTGCCTTTTTTAAATGTTGAATCTGTTTATACAAGAACATGAAGTAGCAACACTTCCCTTCCCTGGGGTCTTCTTTCTCATGTGAAAAAAAATCTGGTGTGAGGGGGAGAAGGGGTGAGGGCGAGGGCTATTTATAAGAAAGTTTCCCAAACTGTTGAACATGCCTCCCTGATCTTTCAGAACCCTGTAATGTTGGTCCTGCTTCACTCTTCACTAGGGACCATCCGTCACTAGCTGACAGATGCGGTGGATAACTGGCTGCCACACACCAGAAGCACCCAAAACAGAATGCATGTTTTACATGTGGAAGCATGACCTTATTCTAACACCTCTTTATACCCTCAGGGGAAAATAGGAAGTTACCAGTGATTTCGCTCCAAGTTTGCTCAGATTGTGGCTTACAACACCTTCGAGCTGCTCCAGCGGACACTGGAAACGCTGGCAGACGCCGCAGGCGGCACGGTCCGGGCAGAGCTGCCCTCCAGGCCGGGCTGGGGAGCTCAAGCCCCAGCTCTGCCTCCTTTCACATCAGTGAGAACACAAGCCCGGGCAGCCTGCGTCAGATTCGGAAAGACTGACAGAAGGGAGGGAAGTAAACCGCCGAGAACAGAGGGTTGTGCACCAGACCAAGGGGAGGAGTGAAAGCTCCACGTTGCTATGACAGTAAGACCGTGTTAGCAAACTGTCAGAGGAAGGTTTTCATCGATCCTGAGGGAAAAATCGAGTGTGAACTATGCACAGCAAGTGTCCTAAAAAGCTAAAACTTAGGACAAAAACAAGAAACATGGTAACTGTCTTTAAAACTACTTTGTTTACAAATTGCTTGTAAAAATGGCTGTATTATTTGGTTTTGTGTGTGATCTTAGCTCTCTAACTAGGTTATAAAAATCCTTGTAGGCAAATCTAGTAATCGTTTGCTTCTCTCTCTGTCTTTTGTTATTTTTCCTGGAACGTTCTCTCTATCTTGTTTCAATCTGACTCCTGCTCATACATCTCTCCAAACCTGCCCGGCTGAAGGCCTCTGCAGACCCCCCACCGAGGGCCTTTCCTGACCGCCAGTCCCTCCTCTAGCACCCGTGACTGACAGCTCATACAGCCTGTCCTGTTCTGTCTCTCTTTTGAACCCACCCTTCCCATCCTTTGGTCTCTGGCTCCTTTGCTTCCACTCCCCTCAAGCCTCCTTTGTCCCTCAAATGCAGGTGCAGGTCACACGTGAACCCATCCCACTGGGCCCTAAGGTCTTGACCCCCGGCGCCTCCTATCTTGTTTTCTTCTGCCCACCCCCCACCTCCGGTCTCCCAGCAATACCTTCCTTCTCCTCTATCCCCTCCCATTAGGGCACCAAACCCCTCCTTGACTCTCAGCCGCATGTCGTTAAACACCCTTCACAGCACTGACCATGGAATAAACTCCAGGCTCCTCAGTCTGCGCGCGCAGGCCCTAACTCCTCCTCCCAGGACACTCCCCATTCTCACTGGCCACTAACCTTTGCTTCTGCGCAGCAACCTTCACTTTCCCAAGCGTTCTTACTGCTCACGCTTTTCTATAGGCACACACAGCCTCTCCCTCATCTTCCTCTATTCTGTCAATCCTGCCACACGAAGGGCCCCAGTCTCAGAGCTGCCAGCCCACACTCTCCTGTCCTTATATCCTCCCAAGTTAGTCTTAAGTAGAGTTATTTGCACATCAGGTGGCCACTACCACCAGTAAGTCGGGGTATAAGCCTATCTTATTTACACAACATTTCCCCCAAAGATTCTCAAAATGTTCTACATAAAGTGGCAAGGACTCAAAAAAAATTTTTTTTCTTTTTTACTTAAAGTGGTTAAATATGATGGTCTCAATCATTTGTATGAAATACATATTCTTTCTCCGACATCGGACCTTCATAACATGATCATTATTTCATGAAGAGGGAAATTGGGTTTTCCTTACATATGCAAACTCAAGTCTTTTCTAGGAAAATAACCTGCTGTGGTCAATCACAGAATAAGGGATTTTCAGCACCTGACACTACCACATTCTTAAAATAACCATGCCTTCCGTATTGCACAAGCAGTATCTGTAGAAAAGCTGGACGATCCAGACAGACACTGAGGGACAGAGGGACAGCCAGGCGCTCGATAGAACAAGCGCAGTGAAATGCGAGTGGCAAAATTCAGAAGGTGGCATGGAATGCACGCAAGTTTTCAACGCCTGAAGTTTCAACAAAATGTTGGTAAATCCAACAAACAGAATCTACATACACTATCATCTGTCTGCTGCGCCCCATCAGGGGCACACGGGGACACAGAGAAGGGCTGCGTCCAGCAGTCACGAGTGACGCCCGGTTGCCTGTGAACGTGGGGCCTGGCTCATAGCAAGTGCTGAGTGAATTAAGTATCTGTTCAATTAAAAGGCTCCCAAAGCGAGTTTGGCTTGATCTCTATTACAAATGCATTTTCATCTGTCTCACACTAAAACTGGCTGATTATGTCTGACTCTTCCCCTAATCCCTGCGCCAACAAAATTAAATGCTCCTTAAGGCCAGGAGCCATCTAGTCTACACATTTGCCGATGTAGTGCTCTCAACTGCAAAGCTGTCTTAGCCTCATGAAAGAAAGAAAGAAATATGTCGACACCGGCTTTATACCCTGAGAACGGTTTCGGGTGCGTCTGCCGAGAGGGTTAAAGCGCAAGCCGAGGCCCTGCAGGGAGCAGACGGGCTTCCACCAGACTGGAGAGCCAGAGCGGCCCGGAGGGCGGGGAGGGTGGCAGCGATGGGTGTCCCTGAGGTGACCATCGTAGGAAGCTGTGCACCTTACAAATGCGTAACGGGAGATAAACGGGGGGCGAGGAGAAGGGCACGCATCCGCCCTGGCGGGGGTGGGCGGGGGCTCAGCGGCTGGAGTGTCACCCCGTACACCAAAGGCTGCAGGTCTGATCCCCAGTTGGGGCCCATGTGGGAAGCATCCAATGGATGTTTCTCTCTCACATCAATGTTTTTCTCTCTCTCTCTCCCTCCCTTCCTTCCTTTTTCTCTAACAGCAATGGGAAGAAAATGTCCTCGGGTGAGGATT